GGGATGGAGAGAGGGAGGGAAGAAGGGAGGGATGGAGAGTGGGAGGGAGGGAGGGAGGGAGGGAGGGATGAATGAAACACGCATGGTGCTGTGTGTACAGGGATTAGACCCATCCACTCACTCACGCTGGAGTTCTTCCACTAACATACAGTAATTTCTCAAAGAACAGATGTCTATCATATTACAGTATATTTTCGGTTTTATTTAGTTTAGTTTAATTGGGATAATAAAAAGCTATTAAACACTGGTTTTAGAAATTATTTATTAATATGAAACTTTCAAAAGTCATGGGTCCCTGAACTATGACGACACACAGACGAAAGTGAGTGAAACCTCACTGTAAAGTGAGGTTTACAGTACAGTATTCTTTTATCTGTCCACCCTCACTCATCTTGTTTCATCACAGAAAATGTCTATAAGGAGATTTTACCACATGTAGCTAGGTAATCACGCTTCATCCTTTAAATTAATGTACAAAGATACGTGTGCCCCAAATCAGTGAACGAAAATCATGGAAACTCAGTTGTTCACTTGTGTGGATCACTGGCTGTGTTTGTGTGGACCATTTTGGCTGGTGTTTGGTTCATATGGTTCACTTGTGTGATCCAACTGCTTATGAAGGAATTATTAATTGTAATCTGTGATAGAATGAGAAAGTTTTCCACCACTCTGTGAACTCTGTCCCAAAATCGTAAGCTTGTGGACCACTTGTGGTCCACATGTGTGGTCCACATGTGTGGTCCACTTGTGTGGTCCACTTGTGTGGTCCACTTGTGTGATCCAACTTGTCATATGAAAGAATTATTCATTGTAATCTGTGATAGAATGGGAAAGTTTTCCACCAGTCTGTGAACTCTGTCTGGACATTGTAAGTAAATCCGAACATCCCTCGCTTCGGCGAACCATTGTTCGTCGAACCGGGTGAGTAAATTCGGCCTGAAAAGTGTGCGAACTAGCCGAACTAGCCGGAGATTCGTTGAATCGGGGTACGTTGAATCGAGGTTGTACTGTATTAACATTTTACCCGGAAAACTCACAAGTGGACCTAAAAGATAACGTTTTATTTCCTGCAAATGGCTTTGCATAATGCCTTTGTTTTGTACAAATACAACACAACTGATCAAAAAAAGCTAACATTGCTACAGTTCCACGAGGTGGCAAATTGGGCTCTATTGTGCTGGGACCCGGAAGATTGGCCTCAAACAGCAACAGTATCTCAACACTTGCGGCACGCTCCAGACATAAATGATGACACAGGTCCTGCCTATGCTGACGCCATGCAAACTCCTGGACCATCTGGTGTGAGGCGGCCCTTGTTCACTTCAACACCTCAAGCTGAAGCAGCAACCGAACCAGAACCTGAGATGTCTGGCGCACTGCCATTTGACGAGACGGTTTTGTCAGATGACTCTGACTCTGACTCAAGCCGTTTATACTGGTACAGAGCACCACTTGGTTTCCGAACCCCTTGGGGACGAGACCCGTCGGTTAACATGTAAGTTCGTATACGAGAAATAGAGGGGAAAAATAAACTAGAAATGTAAAAAAGAAATTTTTCCCAAAAATTTATGAACAAAACTCTAGGGAAAAAAATCGTCAGGTTCATGGCGTAAATGCGACCGTGTTTGTTTGTACTCATCAATAAGTGAAGTCCTGATCCGCTTTATAAAAGTCCTTAATTGTTCCTAACTGATTATTAAGACGTCTGGCAAACATCCTCTGGATGTTTCCTGCCAGCCTGCAGGCACATCCTGCCTAAAATATACGATGATGTACTGTACATTTAAGAAACAAATCTGGGTCACAGGTCTGTGGAGTGTGGTTAGGCTTACGGAGTCAGCCGGTCCCTCCCCCACCACCAACACCCCCCCCCTCTCCCCCCACCACCGACACACCTCCCCCTCTCCCCCCACCACCGACACACCTACCCCTCTCCCCCCACCACCGACACACCTCCCCCTCTCCCCCCACCACCGACACACCTCCCCCTCTCCCCCCACCACCGACACACCACCCCCACCCCCCACCCCAAACCCATACACACACACACACACACTCTCAAAGGTCACGTGGTTCACAGTTCACTTCAACACCCATATATCGCTTCCTGCCTGCCTGCCTGCCTCCTTCCCACCCTGCCAGCCTGCTTCCTTCCCAGCCTGCCTCCTTCCCAGCCTGCCTCCTTCCCAGCCTGCCTCCTTCCCAGCCTGCCTCCTTCCCAGCCTGCCTGCCTGCCTCCTTCCCAGCCTGCCAGCCTGCCTCCTTCCCAGCCTGCCAGCCTGCCTCCTTCCCAGCCTGCCAGCCTGCCTCCTTCCCAGCCTGCCAGCCTGCCTCCTTCCCAGCCTGCCTCCTTCCCAGCCTGCCTCCTTCCCAGCCTGCCAGCCTGCTTCCTTCCCAGCCTGCCTGCCTGCCTCCTTCCCAGCCTGCTTCCTTCCCAGCCTGCCAGCCTGCTTCCTTCCCAGCCTGCCTCCTTCCCAGCCTGCCTTCTTCCCAGCCTGCCTCCTTCCCAGCCTGCCTCCTTCCCAGCCTGCCTCCTTCCCAGCCTGCCAGCCTGCCAGCCAGCCTGCCTGCCAGCCTGCTTCCTTCCCAGCCTGCCTCCTTCCCAGCCTGCCTGCCTGCCTCCTTCCCAGCCTGCCTCCTTCCCAGCCTGCCAGCCTGCCTCCTTCCCAGCCTGCCAGCCTGCCTCCTTCCCAGCCTGCCAGCCAGCCTGCCAGCCAGCCAGCCTGCCTGCCAGCCTGCCTGCCTGCCAGCCTGCCAGCCAGCCTGCCTGCCAGCCTGCCTGCCTGCCAGCCTGCTTCCTTTCCAGCCAGCCTGCCTCTCCCCCTGCCATCATGCTAACGGGTAGTGTGTGTTAGGCTTATCTTCGGGAATGAGCCGGTCTCGCCCCCACCACCAACAAACCACCCGCCCCCCTACATCCCATCTCTCAAGGTCACGCGGTTCAACCTCGTGACTACCACTCACTCCCTGCCTGCAAGCTAGCCTGTCTGCCTGCAAGCTAGCCTGCCTGCCTGTGCCTGCCTGCCTGTGCCTGCCTGCCTGTGCCTGCCAGCCTGCCTTTCCCTCCCTAATTCTCACTACTTCCATCCCTTCCTGCCTACCTCCTAGCATCTCTCCCTACCTCCCCCTCCCTCTTAGCATCTCTCCCTACCTCCCCCTCCCTCCTAGCATCTCTCTCCCCCCCTCTCTCACTGATTCTCCCCCCCCTCATTCATACTGCCTCCCACCTAAGTTCCATCGTCCATCCACCCACCAGTCAGCCATCACTGACGCAATGGGTGCATTTGGAGCCAACATGGTGCACAGATGTTTCTTGATTGTGCAGATATGTAAAACAAAAGCACAGAATGAACATTCCAGCCTTATGGAAATTCAAAATAATAGGAATAATAGGCCGTGAATCTGTGAAGTCACAGTGGGCAAACTGGACCATCGCCCACCCACCACCACAAGCCGGCGTGACGCTTGGTGGACCCCTTCCTACCCGAACTTTGTTCGGGTAGCATGACTCCCCAACCCCAATCGGGAAACTGGAAGTTTCGGATAACTAAAGTTCGGAAACCAAGTGGTGCTCTGTAATGCTTCCCCCATATCATGTATTATATGCATATGTCTGTTTAGGGAATTTTATTCCGATCAATGTACAACCAAAAAAAACTGTGTGCAACAAGTATAAACTTGACAAACATAACAAAAGTAAAAACATTTCGTGTGTGTTTGACGCTCACTGATATGTTCCAGCGTTGTTTTATATTTGGCGCTATTCTATCTTACGCTTTGTTGATCTTTTTTACCTACGGGCTCATAGAACATTCTATTGCGAACACATTGACACAAAAATGAATGACGTACATAGAATAATAATGTCAGGACAGTGAAATAAGTATAAACTTTCAAAGCGCCGTATCGCACATGTGTCGTCCCGTCACCGATACCGGGTAACAATTTCACCACTTCCCACACTCTTGCGGGTGGGCCGCGATCATTATTCTACGTTTATATTCATATCACCGTGTTGGGAATTTCATTGCGAGTCCATTGATACCAAAATTAACGCTATAGGACAAGTGTGGAGGTGATAACAATCCCAAGAGTAAAAACATTTTGTTGCTGTTGGGCGCTCACGGCGAGTCATCTTCGTAGTTATTTATTTGGTGCTGGTATCCCTATACGTTTCGTGACTTTGTTTACTGATGTTCTTCTAGAGAATTTTATTGCGAACACATTGGTACCAAAATGAAATACGTAGCTCGAGAACTAAGGTCAGGAGAGTAAAAAGAGTATACACATTTTTGTTTTTACGCTTAAGCGACAAAAACGCCGCGCGCACATAACGCTTTTTTTTTTACCTTCACCGGGCGTGCGAAAGTGTTAACAGAGTCTGCCCGCTCTGTGAGCAACATTATTATTGCTACGTCTGGCAGGGGAGACGGAAACAAAAACACAGCAAGGATATAAGATACCTTGAATATAAGTATTGTTATCAATTAAGTATCCCTCTTACATAATCCAATCCTATCAGTTAATGTTCTAATATTATTTAATTAAGAACTCGCACAAAAATTATTCAGTGAGGGCCTACCACTATCAAAATACTGTACTTGAGTGACTGATCCCTGCATGAATATAAAAGAATCCAATTTGACCTCTGGTTCTGGCAAAGCCAATTAAGAACCCAGGGTTGAAACACTCCTCCCCCTCCAGAGAAAACAAAATGTGGCTATTAGAATAGTAGTCATATTTTTTGTAAGATCATACAAAGATAAAAAGAAAAAACATAGGTAATAAAAGAAATTTAAAAACAAACTAAAAAAAATTCTGAAAGAAAAATACACAAAAAGGGAAAGAAATTTTTTTAACAAGGAATATTTAATGTCACAGGAGAATCTAAAAAAAAAAACGAAAACATGACAGTTGGTATGTGGCTTCCTGCGGGTCAGATGGATGTTACTCAGGTAACGGGGACAGTTGTCACGTTTAGCCAACCGGTAAGTGGATAATGGTAAGGTTGAAGTCCTGTAGATATAACGCCCTCCTTAGGACCCGTTTATTTTTCTCTTTCATCTGATGGATAAAGACTAGTGGCTTGTGGTCCGTGTACACTTCCACTATATTAGCTGTGAGATATACTTCAAACTTTTTACAGGCTAATACTAGCACCAACACTTCTTTTTCTACCACTGAATAATTGCATTGAGCCTTGTCAAATTTCAAAGTACAGTAATAGTACACTGGATGGTCCACTTGAGCATCCCCAGTTTGCAACAACACTGCACCAGCACCCGAATCAAGACGCGTCGACGTGAATTTTAGATGGCTTGTCGAATCTTGGATTAGCGAGCACTGGGGTGGAAGCTAAGATCGCTTTCATGTTTTTAAAAGCCTCTGCACAGTCTGGTGACCACTTAAATTTAACAGTCTTTTTGCAACAAGTTAGTTAAGGGAGTTGCCAACATGAAAGTTTTTGACAAAAACGTCGGTAGTATGCACACATACCAATAAACCGTTGTATGTCTTTCTTGTTCCAGAGCACTGGATACTGCAGAATGGCACTGATCTTATCTTGCCGAGGGAACACTTTTCCTTGGCCCACTTCATAACTGAGGTATGTCACTGTGCCTTGGCCAAAATGACATTTTTTTGCGTTTAACATTTGTTTGCACTTTTTAAAGTTTGCACTTTTCAAAACTGTGAACAACTGGCATAACCTAGCTATGTGGTCTGCCCAGTTTCTATCAAAAAGCACTCTCATCTAAATACGCCCGACAATTTGGCATATTTACCAGCAGAGAGTTCATTAACTGCTGGAACATTGCAGGAGCATTCTGCAGTCCTAAAGGTAGCACCTGGTACTCGAAAACACACCATCGGGTGTTACGAACATGGTTAGTTGTTTGGCACGTTTTGTGAGTGGAATTTGGTAGTATCCCCTCGAGAGATCGAATTTCGACACAGGTGGCATTACCGATCTCATCGATACAGTCTTCTAGGAGGGGCAGCGGGTAGGCATCCACGATGGTCACCGTGTTGATAGTCGGTGCATAATCGCCAGGAGCTGTCTGGTTTGGGAACTAAAAGGCAGGGCGAGCACTAAGAGCCCGGGCTCGGCCGGATAAGGCCGTGCTGGAGAAGGAAGTTGATTTCTTGCCGCACGATGTCCTTCTTTTCCGGACTCATCTGGTAGGGTTGAAGACGAATGGGGGTATTGTCCATCAACTTGACATTATGGAAGATGGCATCAGTCTGGGGTCTATCACTATCAAAATACTTGAGTCACTGATCCATGCATGAACATACAGTGGCACCTCGATTAATGGGTTTAATCCGTTCCGGCACCGAGCTCGTCATGTGGAAAACTCGTCTTGCGAAACAACAACAAAACTGTCGTAAAAGGTGTTCGAGAACCAGCGGAAATGCTCGTTAATCGAGGAAAAGTTTGTTAGTAGAGACAAATGTTCTGTGAGTGGCTTGCTCGTTACTTGAAATGCTCGTAGATAGAGCTGCTCGTTAATCGAGGTGCCACTGTAAAAGAATCCAATTTGACCTCTGGTTCTGGCGAAGCCAATTAAGAACCCAGGGTCGTTACAGGCCCATTCCTATTCATCTGGGGTTCAGGGACTGGTTGGGTTTTGTGGTGGGGAGTCAGGATTACCACTTTCATTGCCCCCTTTTGGCTTGAATCTGGCACCTCGCGTGTTCACACATCTTACCCGGGTCATGGTGACCCATCTGTGTCCTCATGGTTCTTGGGGTTCGGGTCCTGGACTACCTTGACAACTGGCTGATGTGGGCTCCCAGTCAGTCCACTTGTCTACTCGCCAGGGGTTCTTTCCCAGCTCGCTGGGTTCGGGTTCCTGGTGAACTGGAGGAAGTCCCATCTGCTTCTGTTCTAGATTCAGATCTGGCTGGATCTTGTTTGGGACTCTCGGACCGCTTCCATGTTGCTACGGCTGCGGTCCGATTCGGCTGTTTCTAGGGTGGTCCCGGGTCACTCGGCGATTGCTCGAGCAGTTGCACAAGAGTTTGAACTTTGCCGTGCTGGTCAACCGCTAAACCGGGTTTGGTTTTGGCATCTGTTCTGTTTCCTTCAGGAAACAGAACAGATCTCAGAACAGATCTTCAGGAGATCAGAACAGAACAGAGAATAGAGAAAACTTCTCTATTCTCTCGTGACTTCTGGGTTGATAATCCGGGGGCCTTGAGTCGGTTGCTGCATCGCCGGCTTCCTCTTCGGGATTTTCGGGGTTCAGTGCCTTGGAGCCTACCTGAGCCTTCGCTCGATGTGTTCACAGACGCGTCGTCTCTCGGCTGGAACTTTGTGACGAGCGCTCACCAGGCTGGCCAGGGGCGATGGGGTCCATCTTCCGTCAGGCTCACAGCACGGTGCGGAAGTTTGCGCCAATTTGGTTGTTGCTTCAGAGGGTTTGGGTCTCTTGGGCTTCAACCATTCGGCTCCATTCGGACTGTTCACCGGTGGTTTATTGCCTGAACTGCGGGGGGTTCACTGTCCAACGTCCTGGGGTACAGCCTGTGTTGGTACATTCCCCTGTCGACGAAATGGATGGTCGACGCCGACTTTTTCGTTGGCTCTGCTGGACGTACGGACTCCTGGAGGTGGACCTCTTCGCACTGGCGTGGTCTCAGCGTTTCCCAATCTGTGTGGTGCCCTGACTGCGTGGCCGTCGTGGTGGACGCCTTTCGGCAGGACTGGTTGAGGTGGGGTTACCTGTACTTCTTCCCCCCGGTTCAGCTGTGTCTTTGGGTTCTGGCTCAGTTGGAGTTCTACTATGGGAGAGTAGTCCTCGTAGCCCCTTAGTGGCCGGCCCAGCCTTGGTTTCATGCGCTGCTTGCTCAGTGTGCGAACCCAAGACGTTTTCTGCGGCTCTTCCTCTTCCAGCAGGTTGAACCGGTCTGATACATGGCTGGTTTGGTCTTCTCCTCTGCTCTTCAAGTCTGGTCTTTTCGATGTGGGTTTATTACCATTTGTATGGTGATCAGGTTATCTCAGGTGGCTGCATTGATTGTGTCCCACCTGAGAGCTTCGTCTCGGTGACAGTATGAAGTTTCCTGGCGTTCTTTCTGCCATTTTCTCTCTTGGTAGGTTGTCTTCTATTTCTGATCAGGTTGTCAAGTCCTTTCTATCTTGACTTTTTTAGAATTGTCATTTGATTCCTAAAATTTTCACCTCATCTCGTGCAGCGCTGGCAGAGCTACTCCAGCTTGCATTCGGGGTGGATATTACTTCTGCCCCATTCTGTAAGCTTTCTCGTACTTTGTTTAACTCCGGCCTGCTCATGCACTGCCTGAGCCGTCCTGGTCATTGGACAAGGTGCTCTCCTCTCTTTCCTCTCCTCGGTTTGTGGTGGCCCCTTCAGTTTAAAATTGTTTTTCCAAGGCTCTGTTTCTGTTGGCATTGGCCTCTGGGGGTTGGGTCGGTGAGCTTCATGCTCTCTTCCAGCACAAGGGTTTCTGCTCTTTTGGTCTTGGTGATCAGTTTGTTCAGTTGCAGCATTCTTCTTTTCTGGGAAAGAACAAGATGGCTGCTTTTTGGAGGGGTCCTTGGGTCATTGATGCTTGGTTGGTCAGGCTGGTGGTGCATCATGTGTTGTGTCTGGTTGCGACTCTTCGCCGTTATCAGCACTCTCCCAGGTCTCCCAGGTCGTCCGCAGAGTTATTAAGTCTAGCCAGCCTGCTGTCTATCTTTGTGCCTATGACGTTCGGAACTGTGCTGCTTTGGCTGCTGTGTTTGGCAACATGTCCTGGGCTGATTTTCGGGTGCGAGGATTTTGGAGGATGAACATGGTCCTGGCCGCCTGTTATTTGGTTAACGTTACTGCTCCTGGGAGTTCCTGTGTTGCTTTGGGTCGCAGGTTGCATCCAGTTGTCTCGACTTCACGTTGAGGTGTGTGTGGTGGCCACCTCCCGGGTAAGTCACTCTTTTCCTTATCTTTGGTTATTAAGCCGAAGCCGAAGAAGTTGAAGGGGGCTCCCGACAGAACCCCAGCGTTGAATGTAATGAAACACCATTTTCTGGGTAAGGCTTGGATGCTCCTTGGCACCCCTCCCTCCGGACAGCGGTTTTTCGCGTTTGATGCTTAGCTTCCGAACTGAAGTGCTGGGTAGCTGGCGCAGGGAGGTCCGGGGCTCCCCCCCTCCCCCTCTCGGGGAGGAAAGGGCTGTGCGGACAAGCGATGCAGAAGTGGAGTGTGACATGGGTTTGTTTTCTTGGGATTGGAGGGAGTTCTGCCTCGGGGGTTTTTGTTATTCCTACCTTTCTGGGTGCTTAACCCCGGTCGATGGCAGATAAGGAAAACAAGGGGGGGGGGAGTTCCAGGGCCATTGTTCCCTGAAACCTCTCTGAGGGGACCAGGTTCTTGCTTGTGGTCCCCAGTAGGCTGAACTCCATAGACTGATGCCCTGGTCTAATGTCACACATTTGCCAGGGAGCCTCCGGGGCTCACCAAGAAAATCACAATTCATTACATTCAACGCAGGTTTTTTGGAGCAGCTCCATGATGGCTTGGACATCCTGGCATCAGTCCTCAGGGGTAGCCGCCTTGTTATCTGCTGTTCCGACTTTGACGACTCTGCCCAAGTTGCTCAACCCCTTCTTTTGAGAGGCATTGGTGGCTTTTTACTTAGCCTGTGTTGTGTCGGCAGGCTGGGCTGGCCCTGGCTTTAGACCCAGCATGGTCCTTAACCCTTTTGTCTTGCTCCCCCCTTTTTGCCTCTCCTTTTTCCTGAGTAGGCTGCCTGTCAGGTTATTTCGGAAGCTGTGATAGCATTTTAACACCTCAGTGAGGTTTTGTTACAAAGGGGTTCTGTCCCCCCCCCCCTCTGCTCAGAGGCAGTGGTCCCACAAAATTTGATCTTGACTACTGTTTGTCAGGGTAGGCCTCTAGGATTTTCGAGCCCTTGTGCTTTCTTCTGTTGTTGGCTCCTCTACTCTTCGTCACCATTATGCTTTGCAAAAAGGTACTCACCTAGTTGTGCTTGTGGGGAGGTTGAGCTTTGGCTTTTTCGTCCCGCCTCTCAACTGTCAACTGGTGTACAGATTCCTGAGCCTATTGGGCTCTATCATATCTACATTTTAAATAGTGTTTGGGGTCTTCCTCCACCACATCACTGCCTAATGCATTCTGTTTGTTAACTACTCTGGCACTGAAAAAGTTCTTTCTAACATCCCTGTGGCTCATTTGGGTACTAAGTTTCCACCTATGTCCCATTGTTTACATACCACCCATGCTCAATAGTTTATCTTTATCTATCCTGTCAATTCCTCTGATAATTTTATAGGTAGTGATCATGTCTCCCCTAACTTGTGTCTTCCAGTGTCATGAGGTTTAATTCCAGTAATCTTTCCTCTTAGTTCATACCCCTCAGCTCAGGGATTAGCCTGGTAGCATACCTTTGAATACCTCCTGAGCAGGTACTCACCTAGTTGTACTCACCTAGTTGTGCTTTTGGGGGTTGAGCTCTGGCTCTTTGGTCCCGCCTCTCAACTGTCAATCAACAGGTGTACAGGTTCCTGAGCCTATTGGGCTCTATCATATCTACACTTGAAACTGTGTATGGAGTCAGCCTCCACCACATCACTTCCTAATG